GAACACTTCTCTTAATAGCTCTCGTATTTCTTCCGACACTGGCTTCTATTCTTAATGTTTAAGTAATTCTTGTGAGAATTAAACTACGATTCCATTTGGTTTATGATCCGTTCGAAATTGATATTGAAATATTCTTAAATTAAACTTCACAGACATTACAGTTCATTATACGATTTATCTATAATATTTGAATAAATTCGAATGAAATATGGGAATTCTGTAAATAGAACATATTTTTCACAAAGTACAATTCAAGCAGGCTGAACAAATAAACATTACACGATTGGAATTTAATTAAATTATTAACTTCCATTAACTGATATCCTTCATTTCTTTATTTAGATTCCAAGTTTTTACATTTCAATCCTTTATAACGATCAAAATACAAATGATGTAGGATCGATGACTATAGTTGACACTTGTATCGACGAGATTACAATTAAAGTAGTATATTCTATAATAAAGGACTCATTGCACTAAATCAAAATGCTTCCAATGAACATGGAAGAACGCACGAATATTTATACGTTACATATGTAATCTGCAGTATATAAATATTACGTAATATATAAAATAATACGTATTATATAATACAATACATAAAAGAAAAATGTATATTATAAATTTAATTTATTTCTTTTTACTGCTTTAGTAAAGTATGAATATCACGTAAGAAACAAGATTCTACAACGAATCACGTTCGTTATAGAATACCCTATTATAGTGTATCTTTAATTACGAGATAAATTCAAATAAGTTTATTCTTGCTCAACAGTTTATCGCCGCCAGTGACAAGCTGTGGTTCATGCTGGAGATGTATTCGTTCGTGGACTACTTTACGATACCACCGTCCTTTGTATCGATATACCTCGATCGGACGTGGATCGGACTGAGGTTCCTCCGAGCCCTACGACTGATGACGGTCCCTGACATCCTCCAGTACTTAAACATTCTAAAGACATCGAGCTCCATTCGTCTCGCCCAACTCGTATCAATCTTCATCTCCGTCTGGTTGACAGCTGCTGGCATCATTCATTTGGTGAGACATCGTTCATTCTTCCAGAATTAATTTATCAGTAATTAGAGCACTACGAAGCGTAATGGTGTAAGTCACGCGATGCGTGTCCCTCGGAAAACGAATTCTTAGCCCGGTTAGCGAAAATTCAACGAATTTCTAAATGCATGACGTTCCGAAGCCGGTTTAATTACAAAATACCATATCCCAAGGAAAATTTAACTATGATTCTCGACACTATAAGCTGGAGCAGCCTCAGCGAGAGAATTTGAGGAAACAAAAATTCGAAAATTTGAAAAATTTGATAAATAAATTGAATTTATATTTGAAATAATTTGATGTTCTAGGTTGGTCTCGGTTTTCTTTTCAATGCGGTGCATACGTTATGACATACGACAAAATATTATAGACAAGTAAATAATAAATAAATACAGTAATATATCCCAATAAAGTTTAATTTAGTGAAGTGAAATTTAATTTCGAACTATCACTGAAAAAAGAGAAACTTTTTCGGTGAACTTAATACGAACGTATATCCACGCTGTAACTACTATGCTGCAGATTCTCATGTATTCACGGGCAATTTGGTAAAGTTGCACGATATGCAACAACGCGAAAGAATATATGAAGTATCCAAAGTATAATGGTTTTACGATGTCTCTTAGAAAATATATCACATAGCACTTTTATATAACTAATTACGTTCTGAACAATTTGAATGTTCGTAAAAGTCCATAGTTTACTAATTATCGTTTTTTTTCTTTCGGTCGAACGACTAATTTATTTGTCACGGGAGAAGTAATCGTTCTCTTTTGTTTCCAGCTTGAAAACTCAGGGGACCCATTAGAGTTCACGAACCCGCAACAGCTTTCGTACTGGACTTGCGTTTACTTTCTGATCGTAACGATGTCCACGGTAGGATATGGCGACGTTTACTGCCAGACGGTCCTCGGCCGAACATTCCTAGTATTTTTTCTACTCGTCGGTTTGGTAAGCCTTTTTCTACCTCATCTGTTCTACATAGCTAAAAGTATCGAAGTTCACTTACCGTATACAAAAAGAACTAAACAGCCCTTTTGTAGTTCACCATATAGGAAAAAAACAAGTCTCGCGCGAAAGACTGAATGGCCTGAGTAAAAATACATTTTCCGTTCGTTCTTTCGATACCTTTATTTACCGATCTCGAAACAGGCAATTTCGTTTTCTCCGAGAAGTACGCGTACGAACTCCGCGAACATTATCCTCGGCCAATTTGATTTTATCACGGATCCGCCGATCGAAATCGTTGGTTCGTTCACGATTCCTTTCGTTTCGGGAACGAAGTCTTCTGAAGATCGTCACGCGATAAGATTCAAATAGAATTATCCCTATTTCTATTATACACACGAATGTTTCTCAATTTATAAATATTTCTATACGAAGTAAGATATTGCGTAATAAAATATTAATTATTGTTTTCAATACCCGATTAGGTCGCAGAGTTCGTTACGCTAAAGTAGAACCGTTACAATCGCTGTCTAGTCAATGATCGTATTATTGGTAAAGGGGATACTTTTTTTATTAATATGAAATTCAGTTTACTGTGCATAATTCTTTTAAATATTTGGCGGGACGTTTTTAGCGAGGTCTTTGACACTTCGATGGACGAAAAGTGTAACGAATGAGGTTTTGATACTGAATCTTGTATACGTATGGCACCTTCAATATCTCGCGGTACAAACCTGATGAATTTACTGCGACTTTTACTAATAATACGTCTATAGACGAAATTGGTAAGGCAAGCGATGACCGCGAGACTTACTCTTCCCCAGACACACAAGACGGTGAGCATTTCGAATGCACAGTGTTCTCTGGTCGATACCTCGATCATTAATTTTGATGCGAGAATTTCGATTGAAACTCTTGTCTTATGTGAGAAATTGAAATAGCACTGTTTATTGAACGATAAAATGTCCTCGAAATTAGTGCTAATTATTCCTAACATTTGGCGAAATTCGTTGCAATTTTTAAATTATTCAGTAAATACTGTTATTTACTTGTAGAATCATTTGATGGAGGGAAACAAATATACTTGCTCGAGGAGATAAACGCTCTAATTAGAATATTAAATTGCCTGTAAAAGCAGTTCTCCTGCAAACATACTATTACTTTTTAAATGTACCAATTTGTCCTAGTGTTATATTTAAAATGCATTATTTCTCAAAAAATAAGTATATATTCGTAAATGATCAATCGATATATCAATTGGTAACAAAAAAAAATAATTGAAATTACCTGTTACAAATCTGTTGCGACCGAACTTGAAGTTACAAGTTAGAATAATAATTGTCGAACAGAAATCCGGAACAGAGATTTATCGACGAATAGTTACAACGCATAAACAAATCGTAAAAGAGCAATTGTTAACATTTTCGAACCGTTTGTTATTTTCGTCGAGACGCGACGAGACTCTAAGAACGTTGCCAAATGGCGGAGCCACACGGTTTAAGGAGATATTTCCATTCGGGGTCGTCAGTTTTCAACGATTTGCGAAATACAACATTGTTAAGTTGTTTATACAGTAAGAGTTTTATTATTATATGCATATATTTGTTCGTGTTCCAAGATGTAATTTTGTCCAATTTTGACTATAATTTTCATTGAATTACATTTTGTATAATTTTTGCAATTATTTTTATTGTTTACTAATTTATTCTGTACTTTCCATTGTGTGTTCAGTTTCAATGCTAGTCACGGTTTGCGTCGTTGTATTCATTTAGAAAGAAAGAAAAAAGCAGATAATGCTATTCTATATAAAAGTATAATAATTCTCTTCTAATCTAAAAGAAAATATAAACAAATTTTAACAAAATGACATTTATGTAACGTAGAAAATTAATTTTCTACTTACATTGATGATGGAGCTATAACTGTTACTGATATTGACATAATTTTCGTTTAAAATAGTACTGCTTTTATGTAAATTAAGATTATCTTAGGTCTTTTTTTTCCAGATGAATATAACCACGTAAATCGCGACAGTTATTGCTAATACATCAGAAAACATAGAATACTTTAAGAAATGATAAAAAGGATTGCATCAAAATTACAGGATGTCATTTTAAAACATTACCAAACATTTACACAAAACAACAATCTAATAATTTGTATTTTATAAATCGTTTAAAATTGATCAACTTGGAATAGGAAACTTCGCTTAACATATTGACCGTTTAGTCCAGAAGTCACTCATACAATCAAAGCAATTTCTCTATCGAAACAAACACCGGAATGTCAAAAGATTTCCCACAAAAAAATTCTGTTTGTTAGATACGTAAATTAGAAAATTCGACATGACGGTCAAAGTGTTAACCCTTAAGTGAGCAACCGGATATCGTTGCACCCACTTTTTTATTTCCTCCCCTACAATAAGTTACGTTCCTCAGAAAATTCAACAAAATTCTTTTGAATTTGCATTTCTCGAGACCATTTACAGCGATCTGTGCTCCGAAAACATCGGATCATCCCACAAGCAATCTCGTTTCCTGTATGCTAACTACTAACTCAACAATGAATACTTTTTATTTTAATTCTCAACGTATCGACCATCGTTACATACACCCTTTCCCCATTTTTCGATTAATATTTTAATGTCATCTTTGAAAATGTCGTTAAAAAAATATCTTACATGGTCAGATGGAAAACGACATTACTTATGGAATAACCTAACAGAACGCTCTTGCAAAACTATTGCAGTATCGAAGTTTGAAGAAACGCAAACGTTTCGGTTGCTCAGAGAAGGATCAAAATTCCTCGGAGTTGTTCTTTTGGCCGTGTTCCCCGAGAATTTCGCAGTAACCTGTGCTTGATTGACTCGACGGGTTTTTTTTCCGCGCAACCAAGCAGCTAAGGTACCAGAGGACAGTGTCATTCGTCGTGGAATCGATCGCTTCGTTTGAACGACGATGCGCAGTGTCTGCGACAAGCATGCTGTGCGCGGGTGTGCGTGCATACGCGAGCATGTGTGGCTTATCGATCGAGTACTTACGTGTATTAACTTTAAGTTACGGCGAAAGAGCCCGGGATTCTTTTTTACCTTTTCTACCATTCGGACACAGAAATCGGACAGGTCTGAGCATCGCCGTTTAAACGTGGCCCACGTCTAGCGTAACGTTTATCGAGAAATGTCTCCTGAACAGAGGATTTTGCTTGTACACTCGTTTCACAGCGTTGTCGTAAAACTATCAATAAATATACAGCGCTAAGAATCGTAGCGGTTTAAGTCGCGCGATAGATACTCTTTACATAAATTAATTAAACATTTTTTTAATTAATGATCAAATAAAAGATTTTGTCCTCATTTCCATTTATTGCACTTACTTTAATTTGAGATATGTTTTATTGTATAAAATGTGCTGATTTTCCTTATTTAGTTTATGTACAAAGCTGATAACCTTAAATATTGGTATATAAAGATAACAACCTTAGATAAATTTGTTCTTCAGAGAATGAATCAATAACTTTTTCATTAATAATTAAGTCAAAATTTTTGTCTTTATTTCTATTTGTTATATTCACTTTTATTGGACATATGTTTCCTGTTTTATTATACAAAATATGCTATTGAGATTTTCTTTATTTACTTTATGTATAAAGATTGACTCTAAATTGGTATATAAAGATAACGACCTAGGAAAAATGTTATACGAATATAAATTTGTTATTTTGATGTTAATAAGTTTCTATATTTATTTTACAATGTATTATTATATACTTTCGTTTGGTTAAAGTTTTGTTGTTTTTGAGCGAAGTACTTAGATATCACTAGAAAATTGTCTACTACTATGGATCAAGTTATCAGTTATTATAAGACCAACAAATATTCTCTTTACTGAGCACGTGGCAATTGAACTTTGATTCATTTATAAAATGACATGTTCCGTGAAAATTGTATGAATTAGAAGACAAAGATCACGAATGTAAGAGAGGAATTTTATTTTTGATAATTTTTTACTTATACCACTATGATTCTTAGTGCGTCGTATAATTTCTTTGAAACATGGCAGACTCGACAAACCTTACGTGGCACACAATGACCGTGGTATATACGACAAAAGTTTCCCGGCGGAATGAAGATTCGACTCGTCTTCTAGGAATATCTGACTGTCTCCAGCGACGAAACTTCAGTAACACAATCGAGAAATTTTTCTGAGGAAAAACGCATTTCGATGTTTCTACCCATTGCTTCACTATTTCGTACAATATAATTAAAGAATTTCTCGAATAGTTGAAAAATATTGTAAAGAACTCACGTCACTTTTTACAGTTTCTTTGTTTTATCAGATAAACGAATTGATCGGATTTGGCGTTCATTGAAACATTCAACTAAGAAGCACAGTTGCAAAAAGAAAGTTGTACAGGTTGAGAAACTTTGTGACCGAAATCTTTCTCGAAAGCACAGGAAGAAAACCAGTAGAATGTCGATCACAAAAATACTTAATAACTGAAATTTACTTTAGATTTTGTACCTTTTGACGATACATCGAAAAATTTTGCCAAAAGAAACAAAAACATGTATAAACCTGAAACACATTTCACACACTTCGAATAACCTGTTTCCTATTTCGAAACGATAATGTGCAGCCATTCAATCAATCTCGAATATCCTGGTCACAGAGACAAACAACATGATCACTTAAATAGGGCGCCAGAACAGAAACGATCTCTACTCGATAAGCAAAACGAAATAAGAAAAGACCAATGTAAGAAGTGAAACATTCCCGTGTCCATAATACTCTCCACTGTCAGCTTCCCAAGGAAGCTGACAGCGTGCCAAAGAATCAAAAGCAAATTAAAAACAAACAAACGAAAAAAGAACAGTCGCGAGTCGAGTCTTCACGAGGTCCAAAAAAACGTGAAAAAGAAACCGGCTGCGGTCACCGGGAGCAGCTTTACACTTTCTCTTCTCTACATCTATCGAATCGTACCTGTTTAAATTATCGTCCCATCCC